TACTTTATTTTCATCAATCAAGAAATTGAATCCAGATACACTGCTAAATTGGGTTTTGGTTTAATATTGATACCCCTTTACTATTTTTTTGTTTACTTCAATAACAAAAGAAAACGAGGCGATCGCTCTTATATGCTGGAAATTGTTGTTTGCGCGGCTGGCTGGCTTGTTTATTTTTTGCTTTTGAACCAATTTCCAGAACAGAAATTTCTAACGTTCGCCTACGGTTTTCAAATCTTCTTTTCCATTTATTTGGGACTGGTCTTTTTTGCCAAGTTTATGCTCAAGATTGCAGGCGAAGAAGATCGATTCTAGGTCGCTCATATCATGAGTTTCGGCCATCGGGCGGTATTGCCCGATGTGCTACCACCGCTAGCAGTTCTGAGAAGCTGGTTGCTGAATCAGTTCAGCAGACTTTCCGAGCAGCCGGCCATCTCTTCGTTTCATACCGTCGCTCCCCGGTTCCGGATCTCACTCGCGTTCGTCCGGGGTGACGGTTGCAAGTTGAAATCTTGAGCTTTCAGAATACCAGGATCTTTCCTTTTCCTTGTCATCCCTGCCTGCGCGGGGATGACAAAAGAGACAGCCCTCGGCCCAATGAAATCTCCGAATGTGCCTCTTCATCGTTATCCCGGCCAAGCGCAGTGCGTGCCGGGGTCTATTCAATCAAAATTGCCAACCAGGCAAGCAGGTCCCGGAATTTCGTTGCGCTGCGTCCGGGACGGAAAGAGATGCAGCCATACTCCTCGTCTACTCCATCACCAGCTCAAACTCCGAAAACCCGAAATCCTTGCCGTTAATCCTGAGGCCGATGGCCTGGGTGCCGCCGTAGTAGACCCGTGTCGTGATCGGCCTGATGGCGTGGTCGCGGGAGAGTGACAGCATCTCGCCGGGTTCAAGTTTCACTTTCGTCCACTTGAAGACCTTTGGCGCCAGCGTCCCGTTCGCTTTCTTGAAATGGACAAGATAGTCGATCACGAGATCCTGAGCCTTCTTGCCTGTCGAGCTTAGTTCGACATCAAATGAAACCGCATCTCCATAGATCACCCGGGGCGTTTTGACGTACGGTCCACCCACTGTGATCTCAGGCGGCTTGAGCCCGAAGGCTGTCAGCGTTCCCGGATGCCCCTGCTTGACCAGGGATCGACAGGCGTGACGCACAAGCTTCTCGCGGTTCCTGTCCGCATCCTTCAGCCAGCGCCTTGCGATATCCGCGACAAGATCAGGATGATCCTTGGCGATGTCATTGAGGTGATTGGCGACCGAGCGGCGGACATATTCCTCGGGATCATCCTTCAGCGCCTCCAGAAGCGGCAGGGTCGGAGACGGATCCTTGACCAGCTTCTTCAGCCGCATGCCCCAGGGCAGACGCGGCCGCGTGCCTTCGGACACAAGACGGCGGACATGGACGCTGTCGTCCTTCACCCAGGGCGTCATGATTGACAAGGCCTTGTCCTGGTCCTGGTCGAGGAACGGGCGCACCTCGAATTCAGCGGTCGCGCGCTTGGTCATTTCCTTCAAAAGCGCAAACGACTTCTCGAAGTCCCCAAGACCATGATCGGTAACCACCATCCCGAGCGGCATCATGCCCCAGCCGCGGATGCCCTTGTCATCGCTCGCCCGATCCACATCCTCATTTTCAAGCGGATGGAGAATGGAGCGCAAAATGTGGAACTTCGCATCGAGGGTTTCCGGCAGAATCCTGCCGGTTTCATCGGCGATCAGCCGGGCCCTCTGCTTGAGCTCAAGCTGATCAAGCGCGGAGAGAATTGCAGCTTCATATGCTGCGCGGTCAAAAGTCTCAAGATGGCGTTCGATATGCATTCCGAGGCACTGCACGAGGTTCGGCGAGATCTTGTTTTTGAAAGGTTCCATCAGTCATTCCCTGTGCCTGCTTCAACGTTGCCCCTGTGTGCCAGTTGTGGAGTGCCGGTCCTAGCCTGTTCCTGCCATCCTCCTGACAAGCACTGTCAGGAGGATGGCAAAGAAAAAGCCACTCCGGTCGCCCGGAGTGGCTCTTTGGGAAGGGCCGCCCCCACATTTGCTGCCCTTCCCTTTTCAGCATGGTTGTCAGTCGATCCGACGACCCGTGCTTGAATCGAAGAAATGAACGTCCTTTGCATCAGCGTGCAGATGCATTTTTTCACCCGGCTCATGGCGAGCGTGGCTTGACACCCTGACGACAATTTCCGGCCCGCCGTCCGGGAAGCTTGCATAGACGAAGCTTTCCGCGCCAACCGGTTCGAGCACGTCGACACTGACTTCCAGGTTGACGCCGTCACCGGACGAAGGACCATCGACCACTTGCAGATGCTCAGGACGAATGCCGACAATATAGCTGTCTTTGCCCTTCGCGTTGGAACCTGACAATCCGGCTCCATTTTCAAGAGACAGTCCGTCCCCATCTGCCTTGACATTCAGAAGGTTCATCGCCGGTGAACCGATGAAGCTCGCGACAAAGGTGGATGCCGGCTTGTCGTAGACTTCAATCGGCGCACCGATCTGCTCGATATTGCCACCGTTGAGAACCACGAGCCGATCCGCAAGCGTCATGGCTTCCAGCTGGTCGTGGGTGACATAGACACTCGTGGTGCCGAGCGACTGCTGCAGACGCTTGATTTCGACACGCATCTGGACGCGAAGCTTGGCATCCAGGTTGGAAAGCGGTTCGTCGAACAGAAATGCGGCCGGTTCGCGCACGATCGCGCGGCCCATGGCGACGCGCTGCCGCTGACCACCGGACAGCGCCCTCGGCTTTCGGTCGAGATAATCACCGATCTCCAGGATGCGGGCCGCTTCCTTCACACGGCGGTCGATCTCCTCTTTCGCCATGCCCCGGTTCTTCAAGCCGTAGGCCAGGTTGTTGTAGACACTCATGTGGGGATAGAGCGCGTAGTTCTGGAACACCATCGCGATATCGCGGTCGGCCGGGTCGACCTTGTTCACGAGCCGGTCACCGATCTTGATGTCACCGGTGGTGATGTCTTCCAGTCCCGCGATCATGCGCAGCAGAGTGGACTTGCCGCAGCCGGACGGCCCGACCAGCACAATGAATTCACTGTCGGCAATATCGATGGAGACGCCTTTGACCGCCTCCACATCGCCGGCATACACCTTCCGGACGGTGTCGAGAGTAATCGTTGCCATTTATAACCTCACTTATCGCTCTCGACGAGCCCTTTGACGAACCAGCTTTGGAAGATCACCACGATGAGTACAGGTGGCAACATGGCCAGAATCGCCAGCGCCATTGCCTCGTTGAAAGCCGGGATCTGCGCACCCACCCAGACCTGAAGGATCTGCTTGATGCCGCGAACCAGCGTGAACAGGCTTTCGTCCGTGGTGATCAGGGTGGGCCAGAGATACTGGTTCCAACCAAAGACGAACATGATGATGAAGATGGCCGCGATCATTGTCTTGGACAGCGGCACCAGAATGTCCTTGAAGAACTTCCACGGTCCTGCGCCATCGATACGGGCCGCTTCCAGGAGTTCATCGGGAACGGACATGAAAAACTGCCGGAAGAAGAACGTACCGGTCGCTGACGCGATCAATGGCACGATCAGGCCGGAATAGGTGTTCACCATGCCAAGCGACTGAACGATCTCGTAGGACGGCAGAATGCGAACCTCAAGCGGCAGCAGAAGTGTGGCGAAGATGATCCAGAAGCAGACCGAGGCAAACGGAAAACGGAAATAGACGATCGCATAGGCGGCGAGCATCGAAATGACAATCTTGCCGATGGCAAAGCCGAAGCCGAGGATCATCGAGTTTTTCAGCATCACGAAACCGTTGACTTCCTGGGTGAAGCCTCCGGCCTGGAACAGCACGGTTTCGTAGTTTTCAAGAAACTTGTCGCCCGGGAGAAACTGAACGCCGCCCTTGTAGATCGCGATCGCGTCGTGCGTGCTTGTCATGAAGGTCAGCACCACCGGTGCAACCATGAAGAACACACCTGTCAGAAGGATCAGATGGTCCGTAATCTTGAGTTTGTACATATCCGCCCCCTACGTGTAGTGCACGCGCCGCTCGATGAGGCGGAACTGAATGATTGTGAGGATGAACACCAGCGCCATCAGGATGACGGACTGTGCGGAAGACCCGCCAAGGTCATTGCCCCGGAAACCATCCAGATAGACCTTGTAGACCAGTGTGACCGGGTTGTTGCCCGGCTCGTTCTTCACGATGACATCGACGATGCCGAACGTATCGAAGAAGGCGTATGTGATGTTGATGATCAGCAGGAAGAAGCCGGTCGGCGCAAGCAGAGGAAAGGTCACTGTCCAGAACCGGCGGAAACCGGAACGGCAGTCGATGCTCGCTGCTTCCTGAACCGACTTGGAAATGCCCTGCAGGCCTGACAGGAAAAAGATGAAGTTGACCGGAATCTGCTTCCAGACCGCGGTCACGATCATCGCGAAACTGGTGTCGAAATAATTCACACCGATCTGCATTTTCCAGCCGAACATGGCGAAGAGATCGACCATCGGGCCCACATGCTGGTCAAACAGCAAAACCCCGATCAGGCCGGCAACCGGAGGCGCAACCGCATAGACCCACATCAGCAGCGTCTTGTATGTCGACGCGCCGCGCAGGACCTTGTCCGCCTTGACCGCCAGCAGCAAGGCAAAGCCGAGTGACAGGAAGGTCACGAAAAAAGTGAAGACAGCCGTGAAACGCGCCACCCGGCCATAGTCGGTCGAGGTCAGCATGTCGGTGAAATTGTCCAGTCCGACAAAGGTCGAACCGAAGCCGAACGGGTCCTCCAGATAGAAGGATGACTGTATGGCTTCCGCAGCCGGCCAGAGGAAGAAGATCGTCACGATGGCGAGCTGCGGCAGCAACAGCATGTACGGCACCATTCGGGACTGAAACTGAACTTTTTTCATTGCGTCACCGGAAAAGGAGGAAGCGGACCATCAGTAAAACAGCTGGCCCGCGTCCTCACAAGGAAAAGGGGGCGCAGGGCGCGCCCCCAATAAGGGGTATTTCAGACTGGCCTAGTTGCCGGTTGTCTTTGAAAACCGCTCCAGAAGCTTGTTGCCGTCCGCTTCGATGGTTGCAAAAGCATCTTCAACCGTGGTTTCGCCAGACATGAGCTTACCATATTCGCGGTTCATGACGTCGCGGATCTGAACGTAGAAGCCCATGCGGTAGCCCTTGGTCCATTCGCCGCCCGGCAAGGTCAGCTGCTTGATGCCGATTTCGGCAGCCGGGGTGCTTTCGTAGTAACCGTCCTTCTTGGCCATGTCGTAAGCGGCGTTGGTGATCGGCACATAGCCGGTTTCCTTGTGCCACATGTACTGGACTTCCGGAGATGTCAGGTACTCGAAGAACGATGCGACGCATTTGTTTTCGTCGTCCGACTTGCCGGCCATGGAGAACAGCGCCGCACCACCGATGAAGGTTCCGGTACCCGCGCCGTCAACTGCATCCCAGTAAGGCAGATAGGTTGCGGAGAACGGGAAGTCGACAGTCTTGGAGATGCCACCGAAGGACCCGGAAGAGCCGAGCCACATTGCGACCTTGCCTTCGTTGAACGGTGTCTGATTGTCGCCCCAGCCGGTGCCGTAATAACCGAACAGGCCGTCATCCAGCCAGCCCTTGACGGCGGAGAAGTGGTTCTTGATCGGCTCACCGAATACCAGCGTGGTGTCCTTGGAACCATCGTAACCGTTGTTGTTGGTCGCGAATTGCAGGTTATGACGGGACTTGAAGTTTTCGGTGAAGATCCATGGCAGGTGAGACTGCGCAAGCGGTACGTAACCGGCTTCCTTCAGCTTCGGAGCGATTTCCTGAAACTCTTCCCAGGTCTTCGGAGCTTCAACACCGGCCTTTTTCAGGGCGTCGACATTGTAGTAGAGGATCGGGGTGGAAGAGTTGAACGGCATGCCGATCATCTTGCCGTCGCTGTCGGCATAGAAGTAGCGAACACCGTCGATGTAGTCTTCGATATCAAAACCAACACCGGCGTTTTCCAGGATGTCCTGAGCCGGGATAACGGCGCCCTTTGCACCGATGATGGTTGCTGCACCGGCGTCAAAAACCTGCAGGATGTTCGGCTGTTCACCGGCGCGGAATGCCGCGATGCCTGCCGTCAGAGTCTCTTCGTAGGTACCTTTGAAGACCGGTGTGATCTTGCAAGCGTCCTGGGCAGCGTTGTAGCCGTTTGCGATGTCGACGACGACTTCGCCCAGACGTCCGCCCATTGCGTGCCACCAGGCAATGTCGGTTGCGGCATAAGAAGCGGTGGAAGTGCCCAGAAGGGCGGCCGCAGCGACGAAGCTGGCGACAGTCTTACGATAAGCCATGTTCATTTGCTCCCATCTCGAAGGGCTATGTGCCCCGGTCAGCAGTTGGTTTTCCTGGTGCCGAAATGGCTTGGCCGGCACCTGAAACGATAACGCCTGCGTTTCGTATTGTTTTCATATGAACGTTGTATGACGCTCATATGAACATTTAAACACGCCTAAGTCGCGTCCGCAAACAGGAATAATGTTATTTTGCAGATACTCACCAGATCGCTGGCCGCGAGAACAGTTTTCGTCGGCATTCCGGAGTAAAGTACCCCTGCGGCACTCTCAACTTCGCGCGTTCCGGGCGGTTGTATGCCCCCTTTTTCACACCGCAACCCGGAGAAAGATTAGTCGGCTCATGTCTGGCTTCGACGTCACCGATATGGAATTGTGGCGGCACACGACGAACTCCGTGATTTTACCCGAGTTAGCGCGTTTTTCCGAGTCGTGACTTCATCGTGGCGGCGTTCGGGCCGCGATGTCCGTCTTTGACCCGGCCTTCATTGCACCTTTGCAGCGGGGCGCTATATTCGAGCTCCGATCATGTTTGAGACAGAGCAGCTCCCCTGAATCCATGTCCACGTCCTTCTCCTCCGTCTTTCCGTTGAAAAGAGCCCGTGCCCATGAGGTGTGCGGTGAAAGCTGCCTGGTCTTTGCCGCGATAACGGCCGGGCAGGCGACTGGTCCGGTGGTCTGGGTGTCGGAACGCTGGCGCCCGGTGGTCAATCCGGAAGGCCTTGCGCCCTATTGCGATCCGGGCCGGCTTCTTGTCACCCGGGCCGACAGTCAGCTGAATGTTCTGGCCAGTGCCGAAACAGCGCTCCGCTCCGGCGCTGTCGGCCTCGTCGTCGCCGAAATCGCCGGCCCCATCGGCCTGACCGAAGGTAGGCGGCTGCAGCTTGCCGCCGAAACCGGTGGCACCACGGCGCTGTTGCTGATCCCGGAAGGTGGCGGCAGCAACGCAGCGGAGACCAGATGGCACTGCACAGGCTTCCCAATTCCTGCCGTCCCTTCCCAGCATGGCCTTCCTCAGCATGACCCTCGTGAAAATGACCACGACTCGACTCGCTGGCGGTGGTCCCTTATAAAGAACAAAATAGGAACATTATCGGAATGGGTGGTCCGTTGGGATGCAGCGGCGCGTCGTGTCATTGTGGTTTCCGAGGCTGGCAGCTGAGCGTTCGCTCCGCGCCAATCCTGTTGACGCGCCCTTTGCCCTGACCCTTTTCGATCGTAATTCGGAACGCGTCTACGACCTGTGCCCGCGCGCGGAAAGTGCCGGTCTGAACCGGGGCATGACGCTGGTCCATGCCAGGAGCTTCTGCCCCGGTCTTCTGACCCGGCCCGCCGATCCCAAGGCAGACCAACGGTTCCTGCACCTGCTTGCCCGGTGGGCGACCCGCTATTGCCCCTGGGTCGGGCTCGACGGGCCCAACGGGCTCTTTCTCGACATCACCGGCTCTGCGCATCTCATGGGTGGCGAGGAACCGCTCCTGGACGATATCCGCGCCCGCCTTGCCCGGGCCGGGCTCACCGCCCGGCTGGGTCTTGCCTCTACGCCGGGGACCGCCTGGGCGCTTGCCCGTTTTGCCGAGGGCATTGCCCAGCCTGGCGAGAACCTTACCCGCATCGGCCCCCTGCCGCTGACTGCACTGCGGCTTGCCGACCAGACCTGCACCAGTCTGGAACGGCTGGGCATCGCCACCATCTCCGATCTCTACAACCTGCCGCGGGCAACCGTTGCAAGGCGCTACGATCCGGAAGTGCTGCGCCGTCTCGATCAGGCGCTCGGCGCCATTGCGGAACAGATTTCCCCCCTGAAGGAAGGTCTCAGCTTCGCCGTACGCATGACCTTGCCCGAGCCGGTCGGCCTCCTCGACGACGTGATGGCCGGGGCAGAACGGCTGATCGGTCATCTGTGCGAGCGATTGGACACGGCCCAGAAGGGCGCGCGCAGCCTGAAACTGACCTTCCGCCGGGTGGATCAGGAGAACCAGTCGGTCGAATTGCGCCTGGCCCGGCCGATGCGTGACGGCGACCGGATCCTTGCTCTTTTCGAGCGCGGGGTGAGCGCGATCGATGCCGGTTACGGCATCGACATGATCCGCCTGGAAGCCACCCAGGTGGAAGAGCTCGGCCCACGCCAGCTGACCCCGTCGCAGACGCTGGAAAAGGACAGTCTCGCGGACCTCATCACCCAGCTCGGAAACCGGATCGGGCTGGAAAACATCCTGCGTTTTTCTCCAGTCGACAGCCATATTCCCGAACGCAGCTTCAAGCTGGTACCGGCCGCCTACAGCATGCCGGTCCGCACCTGGCCCTACCGGCGCCCGCGTCCGTTGCGCCTGTTTCCACCCGAGCCGATCACCGGTTCCGGCGCCACTCCGCCCGGACGCTTCCGCTGGCGCGGCCGGGCGCTGACGACACTTCAGGCAGAAGGCCCGGAACGCATCACCCCCGCCTGGTGGGAGGGTGACGACGACTGGACAAGGGGCCTGCGCGACTACTGGCGCGTTGCCACCGGCCAGGGCCAGCGTCTGTGGCTGTTCCACACGCCGCAGAACCCGGGCTGGTACGTACAGGGGGAGTTCGGCTGATGTCCGCTGATGTTTCTCCGCACAAACACCGCCACTCCGGCTTGATCGGGGGTCCAATCCGCGGGTCCGCGAAACAGTCACATTCCAGAAGAGACGACCGATCCGCGGATCCTTTGCCCGAAGAGGTCTTCTCTGAAAATGAGTGGCCCCCCGATCAAGTCGTGGATGACCCAGGAAAGAACGTGGAGGCCGCCCGATGACCTCCCATGTGCTGCCGGACAGCCTGCACTGGGACATTCCCCGTCATGCGGAGCTGACCGTTACCTCCAACTTCACTTTCCTGCGCGGGGCGTCCCACCCGGAGGAACTGGTGACGCGGGCTGCCGAGCTCGGACTTGAGGCGATTGCCATCACCGACTGGAATTCGCTTGCAGGGGTCGTCCGGGCCTATTCGGCGCTGAAGGAGATCAGGCGTGCGGCGAACGAGGAAGGCGTGCCGGTACGGTCCCACTCGCAGATCGATGCTTCTTCCCGGCAACAGATAAACGGGATCCCGCCCCTGCCCGTACCGCAAGTCCTGAAACTGCCGCGGCTGATCGTCGGCGCACGCCTGGTGCTTATGGACAGTCCTGTCGATTTCGTCGCCCTGCCGACCAACCGGGCGGCTTATGAACGGCTCAGCCAACTGCTCACCCTCGGCAAGCGGCGAGCGGAAAAGGGCGACTGCCATCTGGAATTTCAGGACGTCGTGAAGTTCTCCGAAGGCCTGCTCTTCATCGCGCTGCCCCAGGGAGACCATACACGGAATGCATTTTCTGAGACGGCTAAAGATCATATCCGTACCCTTCGCCAGGAAGTTCCGGGCCATGTTTTCCTGGGTGCCGCGCCGCGCTATGACGGCACCGACCAGGCCTGGTTCAGCACCTGCGCGAAAGCTGCACATTCGCTGGCAACGCCGATGGTCGCGGTCGGTGATGTCCTGATGCACCATGCCGGACGACGGCGGCTTGCCGATGTGCTGACCTGCCTGCGCGAAGGCTGCGCCATCGACGAGATCGGCACCCGCGCCCTGCCCAATGGCGAGCGGCGGCTGAAATCGGCTGCCGACATGACCCGTCTCTACCGCCATCATCCGGCGGCCCTCCGGCGGACGGTCGAGATCGCGACCCGCTGCAGCTTCGACCTTTCCGAGCTGTCTTATGAATATCCGGACGAGATCACCGACGGGGAGAACCCGCAGGACCGGTTGGAGCGGTTGACCTTCGAGGGTCTGGAGATGCGTTATCCCGCCGGTGTTCCGGAACATGCACAAAAGCTGGCGCGAAAGGAACTGAGGCTGATCGCAAAGCTCAAGTTCGCCGCCTATTTCCTGACCGTTCACGACATCATCGGCTTTGCCCGCAGCCGGCATATCCTGTGCCAGGGGCGCGGTTCGGCGGCCAATTCCATCATCTGCTACGCGCTCGGCATCACCGATGTAGGTCCGGAAACCATCACCATGGTGTCGGAGCGCTTCATCTCCGAGCACCGGGGCGAACCGCCGGATATCGATGTCGATTTCGAGCATGAGCGGCGCGAAGAGGTGATCCAGTATGTCTATGAGAAATACGGACGCCACCGGGCCGGGCTCTGCGCCACGGTGATCCATTTCCGCACCCGCGCGGCGATCCGCGAAGTCGGCAAGGTGATGGGGCTCAATGCCGATGTCACCGCCGCCCTTTCCGGCCAGATCTGGGGCAGTTCCAACAGCGGGCCGGACGATGCGCGCATGAAGGAACTGGGGCTGGATCTTACCAACCGGCGCGTGATCCAGACCATCGAGCTGATCCGCGAGATCATCGGTTTTCCCCGCCATCTCAGCCAGCATGTCGGTGGTTTCGTGATCACGCAAGGGCGGCTCGACGCGCTTTGCCCGATCGAGAACGCAGCCATGGAAAACCGCACGGTGATCGAGTGGGACAAGGACGATATCGACGCGCTCGGCATCCTCAAGGTCGACATGCTCAGCCTCGGCATGCTGACCTGCATCCGCAAATGCTTCGACCTGATCGACACCCATCACGACCAGGAATTCACACTCGGCACCGTGCCCCAGCACGACACCGGCACCTATGACATGCTGTGCAAGGCCGATGCGATCGGCGTCTTCCAGGTGGAAAGCCGGGCGCAAATGAATTTCCTGCCGCGCATGCGCCCGCGCGAATTCTACGATCTCGTCATCGAGGTGGCGATCGTCCGTCCCGGCCCGATCCAGGGCGGCATGGTGCACCCCTATATCAACCGCCGCCAGGGCAAGGAGCCGGTCTCCTTCCCTTCAAGAGAGTTGGAGGAAGTGCTCGGCAAGACGCTCGGCGTGCCGCTTTTTCAGGAACAGGCCATGCAGATCGCGGTCGTTGCCGCCGGTTTCACCCCGTCGGAGGCCGACAAGCTGCGCCGCTCCATGGCGACCTTCCGGCGGATGGGCACGATCGGCCAGCTCAGGGAGAAATTTCTCGCCGGCATGCTCGAGCGCGGTTATGAGCTGGAATTCGCCCAGAACTGCTTCAGCCAGATCGAAGGCTTCGGCGAATACGGTTTTCCGGAAAGCCATGCGGCCGCCTTTGCCATGCTTGCCTACGTCTCGGCCTATCTCAAATGCCACTTCCCGGCCGAGTTCGCCTGTGCGCTTTTGAATTCGCAGCCGATGGGCTTTTATGCGCCGGCGCAGATCGTGCGCGATGCGCGCGAACATCAGGTCGAGATCCGGCCAATCTGCGTCAACACGAGCCGCTGGGACAATACGCTGGAACGGCGCAGCGACGGCGCGCTCGCGCTGCGGCTCGGCTTCCGCCAGATCAAGGGCATGCGCGAGGAAGACGCGGACTGGATCGTGGCGGCACGCGGCAACGGCTATCCCGATACCGAAACCCTGTGGCTGCGAACCGGCGTACCGCCCGCAACGCTGGAGCGCCTTGCCGAAGCCGACGCCTTTGCCGGCATGGGGCTCAGCCGCCGGGATGCGCTCTGGCAGGTGAAGACCATCCGCAGTCCGAAGCCGCTGCCGCTTTTCAACGACCCGATCGACGGCGAGGCGATCTTCGAACCCGATGTCCTTCTGCCACAGATGCATCTCGGCCAGGAGGTGGTGGAGGATTATCTGTCCACCCGCCTCACCCTGCGTGCCCATCCGATGGAGCTGTTGCGTCCGCATATTCCAGGTCTCACACCGCACGACCGGCTGGCACGGCTCACGCCATACGAGGCACGGCGCGTCTCCGTCTCGGGCCTCGTCATCACCCGCCAGCGCCCCGGCACGGCCTCCGGCGTCATCTTCATAACGCTGGAGGACGAGACCGGTGTTTCCAACGTGGTCGTCTGGCCGAAGATGTATGAAAAATACCGCGCCGCCGTCATCGGCGGGCGGCTGTTGAAAGTCACCGGACGGCTGGAGCGTGAGGGCATCGTGGTGCACCTGATTGCCGATCATATCGAGGACTGTTCCAACCGCCTCGCCCTGCTCGGCCATCCCAATGACGAGGTGCTGGGCCAGATGACGGCCAAGACCGACGAGGTTCCCGTCCACCTCAAGTCAGACGCGCCGAAACCCAGAGCGATGCATCCGCGGGACCAGGCGAAGAAACTGTTCCCGAGCCGGGATTTTCATTGAGGAGTGCAAGATGGAGGCCTGATACAACGAACCCTATTGGAAGACGGCTGCTCCCGGACCGCTCGAGACCTCCGATCAGCGTCAACGATCAAGCCAGACCAGATGCCCGTTTCCTGAGTGCCTCGACCGGTTCATCGTTGAAGTCACAGGTCTCCAGAACGCTCTTCATCAGGTCCGGTTCAACACCGATCCACTGCTCCACACCCGACAGGGCACTTTCACGGCAGGCTGGATTGGCCAGCGTCAGCTGAAACCGCATGACATCAGCGCAAGCCGGTGCAATGCCCGCCTTCCCCGCCATATGCGGTCCCAGCGGTGCAATGTCCCAGAACATCGCACAAGCCATATTCAGGTATTGCCCCGGCTCCAGGGAATGCTGCAAAACCGGATCACAATGAGGATCGAACAGCTCTGCAAATAGGGTCTTCAAACCGCCCGTCAGCGAAAGCCGGGTTTCAATCGGAACGGCCGCATCAGTCAGCAGGCGCAGACAGTCGGAACTCGAGCTGTCACAAAATCGCCAGGCCGCAAATCCAAGGCATTCGGGTTCCGGTGCGCAAAAGCGAACCAGGCCGGACGGGTCAGACAGCAGGCCGGAAACGTCCTGCAACAGCGTCTCTTCCGGCAATGCAACTTCCCGGGTCGGCTCGCTGGACAACAATTCGAAAAAGGTCGGATTCAGATGAGACATGGGGGCAAACTCCATGCGGATTTATTCCATGTGTTTGACAGTCAGGCAATACTTGCCATGCGCGGGTCAGCCGGCTTGACCCTCCACGCTGCTAGGCAGCGAAGATTGGTGTTCGTGCCCAAATGTCACTGTTCAGGAATTCCTGCGTCAGTGGAATTTGAAGGCACAATTCGAAGCATTTTACTCCTCTCCAAGTTTGACAGCGCAGACATTGGCAGCGCGCAGGGCTGAATCGATGGCTTCCTGATGACCCGCATCAGCACCGCCGAAACATTCGGTTACATATTGTCGTGCTGCGGCGCAGTTTTCGTTGCGTGCTCTGTATTCCCGAAGTGTATCGCGCTGACTCGGAAGCACGCTGGCACAGGAGCGTTTGACATCACAAGTCGGGTGGACATGCGACTGCCTGTGCCTGCATTCCGCGACAGAACACAGATCCAGGTTAACGTCATTGCAGCTGGCCAGCCCGGGCGCTGGAGCGCCAAAACCAGTCAGGAACACCATTGCCATCATAACCGAATACTTCATCTAATCCTCCTTCGGCTCCAGGGGTGAGTGGTGAGTTGGATGGTCAGGTGAAGGTGAAACCTCCATCTGAATAGGTCGCCGTCACCGGCGTGTCCTCGGATATGGCTGTCGTGCTGAGATGAATGAGGGCAACATTCTGGAAAACCCCCACCCCCGTGAGCGTGCCGACAAAAAGGTGGATCCTGTCGACAAGCTGAAAACAGCCAATTTCTCCGTTCAAAACGGTCCGGATAGAATTGGCGACCGGACTGCCAGGCAATTTGTTGCCATTCACCGCGCAATCGCGCGCCAGACCAAAGGCCAGGCCCGAATGCGCGTTGCTGTTGCACATGTAATAGGAATTCAGATCCGTACCTGTCAGTCGCTGACCGGCTCCAAAGCCGCTCGTCGTATAGGGATAGACAACACCCGGACTGACCGGACGCACCGAGTTTGACTGAACGATTTCCGCTCCGGATGAAGGTTGGCCGGATTGATAGATCGCGACATCCCGTTCCCAAGTCACGGTGGTGTTCTGAACTGGTGCGAATGTCACCCAGACAACTTTTCCCGCCTGGAAGTTGACGATATCGGGCGTGTCGTCGCCGTCTCCGTGAGCAATCTCCGAACCTTCGACCAATTCGCCGGTTTCGCCTTCGGCCTTCACCCCTCCACTAAACGCTCCTGATGCCACTTCCTGAACCAGAGCCACTTTCTGGCCGGCTGAAACAAGTGCCTTCACGTCCGGAATGTCGATCCTGATATCAAGCTGGTACATGGCCCGGCCTCACCTTATGAGCGCGAAGTCAGCGCCCTCGGGATTGCATCCCGAAGACGCTGCTACAGCGGTTTCAGCCAAAGCTCGTGAAGGTGAATTCGTTCAGTGCATCATCGAAACCCAGAAGCGCCGTCGGCTTTTGACTTGTGAGCTGAACCGCCAGGGCGGTGTCCGCAATCTGGGACAGGACGACACCATTGTTCTGGATTGAGGAAACCCAGATCGAGATGTTCTCGATTGCGGTGAAACTTGCATGCTGATTGTACGGCACCCGTACCGCATTCAAAGCGGACATGGTGGTCTTGCCAGCCACCGTTGCCTCTTGCGCCAGTCCCATGGTCCAGGGCTTTGGCGATTCCTGGAAATTCTTGGTTTCAAATGCAGTTCCGGTGTCGGCTGGCGCGGAACTGAATGTGGATGCGGTCCCATATGTATATAGCTGACCGGATTGAATGGCTGAGTCCGTGTAGGAGGTCATGTCGATGGTCGCACCACCTTTGGCCTCACTTGTGGACGCATAGAGGTAGTAGTCTTCGGTCCAGGTCACGGTAATATGCTGCGCCGGTTCAAAGGAAATCCAGGCAGTCGCCAGATTGCCGCCGACCATGGAAGCGGTCACTGTCTTGGCGATACTGATGGTTTCTCCCCTTATCTGCTCCAGCCCCGTTGAATCAATCGAGATATCCAAAGTGTATGTGGTCATGTGACGCTCCACTGTTGCTTTGTTGACGCGCACTGCGTTTGCCTACGCAGCGGCCAACGATTTCCTGGAGGGAAAATTTCGACCAAGGCAGTCAGCCGCCGCACAACCGATAATAGTTTTTTGCCGTAACGTTATCTATTTAAGGTTGTTGACCGCAGATCAAAGAATCGCGAATTTTGACCGTCAGGAAATTTCTCTTCAGAAGCAGGCAGACGTTCGTGAAATGGGTAGATCATCCACATTCAGGACGATGCCAGGAAAACGCCGGCTATTTGGGTCGCTCCGGCACTTCACGCACCAGACTGAGCAGGACACTTGTGAACCTTTTGGGTCGCACGCGAAGCAGAAGGATGAGTTCCTGTTCCAATTCCGAAAGACCGGTGTTCTTGTGTGCCTCGGGAAAACCGCGCCCCAGCAAAAGCCAGTCGAGAGACGTATCCAGCACGGTGGCGAAACGGCAAATGTTGTCGATGGAAAAATTCCGCCCGTACCGCCACTTTGAAACCGCACCCGGCGACACCTTGAGTTCCTCGGCAAGCGAAAGGAGTTTGGGTTGCCCCGATATCTTGATCGCATATCGGATACGCTTGCCGCGCTCTTCGGACGCATCGGTGTAAGGCATTGACAGCACTCCAAAAATGACAGGAGCAATCAACCTAGAATAGATTTTTTTATTTTTTATACTTTTACATGTGCCTCATGCCAGCCTACACGGTGTCTCGCTCAAAGGACCGGAAGGTGAAAAGCAGCGTTGAGGCTCAGGCCTGATTGCGCGCTGCCGGAAACCTTCACCGAAACGCCAATGCAGGCCTGTTCTTTCTATCAGTGCAGCGCGTGCGGCGAACACTTTTGCCATTCCAGGTCCCGCACCCTGTGCACATGCTGCGTGAGACACTATTTCCATTCTTGTCGTTCACATGACGATGGTATCGTCCGGCGATACTGAAATGAAACGGAGTGAGCATGCCGATCCCAAGACTCCCACCACCACTCAGATTCCTGGAACGCGTGCGCAAGATGCAGGAAGAGGAAAGGCAGCAAGCCCGTTCAAATCCATTTCTGGCGCAGGCGCTCGAGAAGGAAAAAATAGAGGGTCATCGACTTGCGATCATCGCCCGTACGGTGGCGCTGGGTCTGGTCGGCCTCCTGCTGCCCTTTCTGAACTTCAGCCCGAGCGTGCTTTACTATGAAGCAACACTCTTGCTTTTCATCGCGCTTGGCTGGCTGCAGCTGCGCATGGCAAGTGTCGGCTACTCAAAGGCGGAGCTTTTGCTGATCTTTGCCGATGTTGGTCTTCTGACGCTCCTGTTCACCACACCGAACCCGTTCTTCAGCCAGGACATCCCAACCGCCTTCATGTACCGGTTCGATAATTTCATCTACTTCTTCATGTTTCTTGCCCTTGGTACACTGGCTTATTCCTATCGGACCGTTTGGGCCATGGGCACATGGGTCGCCCTGCTTTGGCTGATTGGACTAGGGGGCGTCTCGTGGCTCGGTCAAACGATTCCGGGCCTGAGTGAAGCTGCTGCGATTGCATTCGAAGGCCATCCGCTTATTCGGGAGGAAATGGATCCGAACAGCATCCAGGCCGGTGTCCGTGTCCAGGAAATTCTGGTCTTTCTGATCGTTGCGGGCATTTTGGCTCTGAAGGGCTGGCGCTCCAACCAGCTTGTGATGCGGCAGGCAAACATCGCCGCTGAACGCGCAAACCTGTCACGGTACTTTCCCTCCAGTCTTGTCGATGTACTGGCCGCGACCGACCGTGATATCGGCGCCGTGCGCACCCAGGAAGTGGCTGTCCTGTTCACCGATATCGTCGGTTTCACGCAATTCGCGGAGCAGCATACTCCGGAAGAAGTGATGGACCTGCTGCGCCACTATCACGCCTTTGTCGAACGCTCGATTTTCCAGAATGGCGGCACGCTCGACAAGTATCTGGGAGACGGCGTCATGGCGACTTTCGGTACACCTGAAACCAAACCCGGTGATGCTGCCAATGCGCTGAAAGCCGCCATGCAACTCATCGAGGAAACCGAAAGCTTCAACAAGGAACTCGAGACCCGCGGCATCACACCGATCAGCGTTTCGATCGGTGTTCATTTCGGCCCGGTCATCCTGGGCGACATCGGCCCCTCCAGGCGCCTGGAATTTGCAGTTGTCGGTGACACGGTCAACGTCGCCAGCCGGTTGGAAGCATCAACCCGGGAACTCGGATGCAGATGTGTGGTCAGCGAAGAACTGATACGTCAGGCCGCGCGCTCCGAAGGCAAGGACCACCCCGAGAAGGCCTTTTCTGCAAGGGACCCGATCAAACTGCGCGGCCGCCAGAATTCGATTAACGTCTGGACGGTGTGACTGTCCGGGCCGACACCGGACGCAAAACATATGCGTGGTGCATCAAGATCCTTCCGGCAGGGCAGCAAGCCAGTCCAGACCTTGGCCCACCCATTCTGCGGGGATGGAATGACCGCGCTGATGCAGACAGAGTTCAAGCACCCGCCCGCTCTTGCTTTCATCCCATCGCTCACAGGAAAGACGGTTATCGCCGCTTTCCACATTTCGGCTTGCGCGCGCAGCCCCGTTTGCCTGTGCAAGTATGTCAAATCCTTCCTCTATCGGCATGGAGTTGTAGATGCCGACCTCGTCGAACGCGACAACACCGTCGGAAAGCCCATGGATATGGCGCAGATTGACAGCACCTGTCGGGCAGGCTTCGGGATTGGATCGCCAGAAACCGCCTGCAATGGGCGCATAGGCGCGGAACAGATCTCCGGTATAGCAGGCAACATTCCACACCATCGATGCGCCACGCGAAAAACCTGAGGCCAAGGTCCGCCTTTCGTCAACCGGCCAGCGTTTGCGGACATCCTCCATGACAGCGCGAATGTAAGCTGCCTCGTCCCGGCCGCGCTCCGCGCGTCCCTGGCCGATCTGCCGCCAGTATCCCTTTTCAGCGAACGGGGCCACAAACAGGGCGCCCCGGTCAGTTGCGCCGCGCACCATGACCCGGTTACGGAAGGTTGCCTCTGGCGAACTGTTCCAGCCATGAAAATAGACCACCAGCGAAAGCGGTCTCTTTTGGTCCCAATCCTCCGGCACAGCTGCCAAATAGTATCCACCCGGCACCTCGCACCTGGTTTCAGGACCGCAGGCCTTTGCCGCAGCAGGAATGGCAAATAGCAGGAGCATAATTGCAACCACACGCATCGAAACACCTCGCGAACAGATTTCACGATCATTTGCGCTCACCCGCACATCTGCAATGAACATGTGCGTGAAGCCGCACGAGGCAATTTCTGACCGGGCGATCAGCATGACAAACCGGCCACCAAGATCAGGGATTGTTTTCCTCATCCAGTTCCGCTCGAGTCCGGAACACACTCAGAAACAGCAGTGGCACGCCGCAGGCCAGAACCCAAATCGCCGCCATGCTTTCATCGTCCAGAATCAAGGTTCTGATATCCTTGAAGGCGATGGGACACACAATAAAAACCACTCCGAGCAGGACGTAGTAGAGCGACCCTGTCAGGCGGCCCCAAAGATAGATCACGCTTCCCCAGATTGCCCAGCTGGCGATCGTGACCAAGAAGCTGAATTTCTCCGAAATCCCGCCATCTGCCGCCAGTCCATCCATAACGAATACGGCCTTCATCGACGCGATGATCGACAAGACCAGCAGAACGTTTGCAACTCCGAACAGAAGATCACCGGCATCGAGTTTCGAGCCGTCTCCCTTGATGTATTTCAGGGATTTCAGCACCGTTTGCGCCACAGAGAGAATATTGCCGACGATCGGAATTGATTTAACCGCATTCACCGAGAGTCGATACAGTCTTCTCAGGTACACGACGTGCCGGTCACGGATTAGGCCGCGCCACCAGGGAAGGCCTTTTTCGAAACTCCGGCTTTGCGAAACAGAGACGGCAACCCCAAATCCGACCGCGAACAGGAACTGCAGGCTGAGTTGATGCAGTGCGAATACATCGTCGATCACCAGGTCGGAGCCGCTTTCAAGGTTTTCCAGATCTGATCTGCCTGCTGGTGCGAATTTTTCGACCTCGTACAGCACACGGCCACTGAAGTCTTCCACGGCCAACAGCAGATAGAAGCACAGGCCCGCTGTCATGACAGCGGCAACCAACCTGACAAACGAATTGCCAATCGCCTCGGAAAACCCGACCAGAACGAGGACAATCGCTGCCGTCAAAATCGTTGGTAGCCAGAGTTCGTGAAACACCAGGTAACTCGTATCGAAATTCATCCACACGGCAAAAGTGGTAACAATGGCAACCCAGCTGACCCGGGTTGGATTGCCCTGACCCTTGCGCACGAAATGCATCAGGACCGCATATGCGATCACGGCGGCAAGCCAGCGCAACGACATACCGACCTCTCCGTCGCGAGGATCCAGCAGAAAAGCCGAGACGCCGAGGATGACGACAACAAGCCCCTGCACAAGGAAAAAGCGCTGATCCGACTGACGTCCGTGCCTGGCCCAGACTTCATAAACAATTATGGCGCCCACAATGACGGCAAGCACGAGGTAGATCTGTGCCGAGGGACCGTCTTCACGATCGATCTCCCCAAACAACACGATCGCGACTCCGGCAAGCAATCCAACAGCGCTGGAAAGATCCTTGCGATGAGCCAGATAAATGAGAGCCGACACGAGACAGATCAGATAGACCACGACCGGAAGGAGCGTTCCTTCTTCCTGCCAGAAGACAACAAGAAACAAGGCGAGGTAGATCCCGATGGCATTGAGGCAGCCAGGCGGAAAGATTTTTGCTTCAATGGCACAGAGGACCAGCACGAACCCGGACACGAGGAAGAAGGCTGACGGCGTCGGCCAACTGTAGCCCGCTGCTTCAAGTCCAAGGATACCGACCATCAGAAAACAGAAAATCGCCGCCGCGTATCTTGTGCGATCCGCCAGTTCCAGCCGATCTCCCCTGAAACGGAAATAGGCGATCAGAACGACAGCTGTTGCCGGCAGCAGGACACTTGCCACCAGGAAAACAGTCTCATCCGTCTGACTCAGGATAAGTGTGGCAATCATGCTGCCGTGAAACCCCAGAAACGGCAGGAGGACTTCGGTGACGAACCTGTCGAGCTTGAGAGCACGCAGTTGGATTGTCCTGGTATCGAGACTGCCGATTGCAGAAATAATCTGTTTCATAACCGTCTCCACTACGATGCGTGAACGGATCGACCGAAAAATCAAAAATGTCTTCGGTTACAACAGTTGAAAAATTCAGATTAACTCACAGACGATCGCGTTGATAGTTGCCCGGCAACAATAAAACTCCTGATTGCAGCAAGGTTGCAGCTCCGACCAAGAATTCTGGTTTGACCCGATCGGCATTTGTCTTTGCCGGACTGCACGCGGACACGAGTGCCTGATCGCTATCTATCGCTCGGATATCAGCAAGTTGGCACCAAGAGCGATCAACACTGATCCGGCGGCCCTGCGCATCCAGCGGCCCGCTGACCGGGATTTCCGAAACAGTCCAGCAATCTGGTCCGCAAAAATCACACAGCCTGCCTCGGCGAATGAAAAGAACAAATTGGCCGCTACTCCCAAAAGAATGATCTGCAGCCAGACCGGATAGGCCGCCCCCTGGTCCGTGAATTGCGGCAGGAAAGCAATAAAGAATACAGCAGATTTGGGGTTGGTGACTTCAACAACAAAGCTCTCTCGGAGCGCCTTGAAATGCATTGCTGGTTCAGAATGGCTTTCAGGACCGGAAGAGATCTCTTCGGCCATAAGAAAGCGAATGCCCATCCAGAAAAGAAACAGGGCACCGACAATCTTCAGCGCGAGATAGGCGACTGGAACGGCTTCAAGAAAAAAGCTCAGGCCGAAGGCCGTTGCGATAATGTGAACATAGCTCGCCAAATGTGTTCCAAGAGCAGAGAACCAGCCAGCATTCCGGCCTCGCCCGACAGTCTGGGCAGCGATGTAGAGCATTCCGGGGCCCGGAGTGATCGAGAGCAACAGGACTGTGACCACGAAGGGAAGCAGAAATTCACCACCCGGCATCTTCATCCTCCTCGAACGTCACCACGGCACCATATGGATCAGGTTGCAAAAACAACCGAAAGAGCTGCTTCGCGGCAATGAAAACCGCGCATCCTCCGACACCCTTCATCAGGGTGTCATTGGTCTGGACGGCACGGGAGGCAGACCGTCGTAACCACCCCAGACAGACTGATCGAACTGAACGACCGAACCGGTCATCATGCCGCTGTCCTCCGACGCCAGAAACGCGACGGCCTTTGCCACTTCGCCGGGCTCCAGCAAGCGTTCGAACGGCAACGTTGCGGCTTGTTTTTCCATAAAGTGGGGATCACCGGTCTCCGACACCTGCAAGGCACGCTCATTGTCGGAATTCATCCAGCCGATATCCAGTTGATTGACCCGGATCCGGTTTCTCATCAGGGCAAATCCGGCATTCCGGGTGAGCGTGGCAAGCGCTCCCTTGGAGGCACAATAAGGCGCGATGAAAGGCTGTCCCGCAAGAGACGAGGCCGATCCGATATTGACAATGCTTCCGGCAAGCTTTTCGTGGATCATCAGCTTGACGGTCTCCTGCATGAGAAAGAAAGGCGCCCTGACGTTGACGGCAAAAATCCGGTCAAACAATTCGGGGGACGTATCAAGCAGATTACCACGGTCTGTCAGGCCGGCGGCGTTGACCAGGATATCCGCCCTGCCGAAAACGTCATCTGCAGCCTTGACGACGGCAACACAATCGGACACTTCCGCGAGGTCGGCAGGGACGAACCTGACCGGAACGCCGGTGTCACGGGTAATGTCGGCCGCGACCGCTTCGCCTTTCGAAATATTGCGCCCACATGTTATCAGGCCGGAGACACCGGCTTCCGCGAACAATCGGCCAATCGCAGCGCCAAGGCCTTGCGTTCCACCCGTGACAATTGCGATCTTGCCGTCAAGCCTGTTCATTTTGGATCCCTCAAGTTTTGCGAAATCAGCCGGGTTTGTAGTCCCGATCTGCTTCCGGATCTTCCGACGAGAAGGGCAGAGTATCAAGCTGCGTCCAGACCGCCGGATCGATGTCCTGGCTCGCCCAATTGAGCGTCTGCGCGACCCGCGCCGCTTTCGATACACCCACGATCGTCGATGTGACACGCGGATCGCGCATCGAGAACTGGAGCGCCAGCGCACCCGGGTCAATTCCGGCACTTGAACAAATATCCTCGACCGCCTTCACCGGCTTCATCGCCGCCTCCGTTGCAGGCTGGTAGGTGATGCGCGGCATCTGGGCGCTGCCCTTGGCGAGAACGCCACCCGCGTAAGGAGCCGCGTTCAAGATGGCGATCCCCCTGGAATGGGCGTAGTCGAACATTTCATGCGCCGAACGGTTCAACACGGTGAAGCGATTGTGGCTGATAAGTGCATCAAAAGGCCGTTCGCGGAGAATTGGCAACATGACGTCGATTCTTCCCATGGCAAGTCCCACTGCCGATGCGATGCCTTCCTCCTTGAGCTTGAACAATTCGTCCAGTGCGCCTCCCGTTCCTGTGATTTCACCCAGGTCTCTTGCATGTTCCGGATCATGCAAATGCAGCAAGGGAACATGGTCCAACCCCAGCCGCGAAAGGCTTTCATCGATCGACCAGCGAACGCGCGCTGCATCGAAACGTCCCGTTTCCATGTCGCGGTCGAGTTTGGTCGACAGAACAAACCCCTCAGGCAAGCCGCCGCGTTCCCGCAAGGCTGCGCCTATCCGTTCTTCACTGCGTCCGAAGCCATAATTGTTTGATGTGTCCAGAAAATTCACGGGACCATCGAATATTGCTCTCAAGGTGTCACGAGCACGGGCTTCGTCAACTTCGTAGCCGTAGGTATCGGGCATGTTGCTCAGGCCGGAGGCGCCGAAACATAGCGGAGTGACCCTCAGGTCCGATTTGCCAACAGATCGTTTTTGCATAATGCCTCCAGTGCCCCGGATCTCGACCGTGATATCCGTGGAAAGATGGTTACGAACCAACCGTAGCTGACAGAATGGACCGCTGAAACCGTCCAACAGCCAGAAACCCGCCAGGTCGTGTTCATTCGCCGGACAAAGGTCACGACGATCGCGCATCCGATAGCCGGTGCACGCCAAGCCTCAAACGAAAGGGGCGGCACGAATGTTCGCACCGCCCCAATCCTTGGTGTCGTGACAGGCCTTACTGGACGCAGCTGTCGATGTTTTTGTTGTCGCAAACGTCGAGGCCCGTGAAAATCGGATCGTCAACCGACTTGCCTTCGGCAATATCCTTCAAGATATACATGGCCTTGTAGCCCATCTCGTAAGGACGCTGACCAACCAGACCGTTGCCAAGACCGTCCTTGGTTTGCTCAAGCTGCATCGGCAGAGTGTCCGCAACCACGATCGTCATGTCACCGGAATCCATCTTTGCCTTATAGGGCTCTGCTGCCTTGCGGTAGGCATTGTCGAACCACTGCGTGAAGGCGCCCGTCGACAGGAATGCCGTCAAATCCGGATTTGCCGCGAGTATATCCGTCATGCCTTGCACAGCGACATTGCCGTCATCATTGGTGATGAGCGGGCATCCGGAAATCTCGGTCCAGCCACCGTCACCAGCGAGAGCGGACCCCGGAGGTGTCCCCGTATCCTTGCCAGACAGTGTATCGCGGGCACCTTTCAGACGCTCGTTGTGGTTTGCTGCAGCAGCCCCACCCGTCTGCAGGCAGACCGTGCCACCGTCCGGATGCCGCGCCTGGATCAGTTTCGCCAGGTTCACACCGATGTCGTAGTTGTTTGTTCCGACATAGGTTGTGCGCAGGCTCTTGTCCTTATCAAGAAGGTCCGAGTCCCAGGTCATGACGGGTATGCCTGCGTCGGCCGCAGCTTTGAGAACCTTCGCCATGGCGGGTGCATTCGACGGTGCAACCGCAATTCCATCAACACCCTTGGTTATGAGATCCTGCACGATCTGGATCTGTTCCAGCTCGGTATGTTCACCCGGCCCGATATATTCACAAGTAACGTCGGCAAGTTCTTCCTGGGCCTTGTAGCAGCCATCACGTGCGAGATCGAAGAACGGATTGTTCATCGCCTTTGGCACGAGCGCGAATGTATAGTCCGCCATTGCCATCGAGGGGGCCAGAATGGCCGCCATGGCGGTTAAGGTTAGTAGTTTCTTCATATTCTCCTCCCTGGATTTTGAAGAAATTGAGGGGCTTTAACTGCGCCCTCTGCTTCGGATCTGTTCCAGGAGCACTGCAAGTATCAGGAACAGGCCAACGAAGAATTGCTGCCAGAGCGCCGGAATACCGGCCAAAAGCAGTGAATTGCGAATGAGTTCGACCAATGCGGCTCCGATTGGAGCACCAAGGGCATAGACGACACCGCCCATGAGATTGGCGCCACCGATCACGCTGGCGGCGATCACATTGAGCTCATAGGTCACACCCATGCCGTTGGTGGCCGAGCCGGTGTAGCCGATGAACATGAATGCCGCGAGACCCGTGCACATGGAACACACCATGTATACCGAGACGATCATCCGCTCGACCGGAATGCCCGAGAGCTTTGCCGCTTGCGCGTTTCCGCCGATGGCAATCACCCATCTGCCCCAGGTGGAATATCTCCAGACCCACCAGAAACCCGCCGTCATCAGTATCAGCACCCAGACCACATTCGGGACACCCAGCATGCTTTCGCCACCGATCCATTCGAACAGCTCCATGTCGGGACCGAATTCGTAGATCATCTTGTTGTTGGAAATGACCATTGCAATGGATCTGGCCATAGCCAGCATGCCGAGCGTGACAACGAAGGGCGCCATCTTCAGATAGGCAATCAGAACGCCGTTGATCGCGCCAACGGCCGCTGCCGTCAGCATGCAAACGACAAAGCCTACCTCAATGCCCCAGCCAGCCTGCATGGTCAGGCCCAGCGTAATGGCACACAGACCGAGCAGCGACCCGACGGAAAGGTCGATACCAGCCGTACAGATAACCGCTGACATCCCGAGAGCCATGATGCCGAAGAAGGCGAAGTTACGGGTGATATTGAACATGTTGCGTTCTGTCATGAACGCATCGGAGACAAAGGTCATCACGATACCGATTGCCAGGATCGCCAGGAACACCCAAAACGGCTGTGTCCTGATCATCGAACCGAAGCCGGACACTTCCTGGCGGGACGTGATGCTTTCGTCAATGGCGGCATGATCCATTTCGTTCAAGGTGTCCACCGGACCACGGCCCGGATGCCGACGTTGTTTCTGATCTGTCAGTTCTTCGGTCATGCAGCTTCGATCGCCCCCGTGATAAGCCCGGTCACTTCCTCGGGGCTTGTTTCCTTGATGTGCTTGTCGGCAACTTTCGTACCCCGGCGAAGAACAGCGACCCGGTCGCACACATCGAAAACATCCGGCATCCTGTGAGACACCAGAATGACGGCATGGCCGGTATCCTTCAGGCGTTTGATGAGCGCCAGAACTTCCGCAACCTGGCGAACCGATATGGCGGCCGTGGGCTCATCCATCAGGACCAGCTTCGGATCCGACAAGCGTGTCCTGGCGATGGCAACGGCCTGCCGTTGTCCACCCGACATCTGACGAACAAGATCTCTCGGCCGGGTTTCCGATTTCAACTCCGAAAACAGTTCCCCGGCGCGCTTGTACATTGCCCCGTGGTCGAGCCACGAAAACGGCCCGATTCTCTTCTTCGCCTCCCGACCGAGAAACACATTCGCCGCGGCCGTCAGGTTGTCGCACAGCGCCAGATCCTGATAAACGATCTCAATTCCCGCGTGTCTCGCATCAATCGGTTTGTGAAATTCGACCGACTTGTCCTCGATCCGGATTTCACCGCTCGTCGGTTTGAAATTTCCCGCGATGATTTTCATCAGGGTCGACTTGCCCGCACCATTGTCTCCCATCAGGCCGACCGCTTCCCCCGGATCGATCGACAGGTCCACCCCGTTCAGCGCGTGGATTGCACCAAAACTTTTCGTGATACCGTTCAGATTTAGAAGCCCCAACGATTTCCTCCCTCAAATTGCCTGCGGCACATAGTCGGACGGCGCAACAGGCAAGACATTACGGAGCATTTCAATCGATTTAACAAGCCCTTCCTCAGAGTTTAGCAAGACATCTTCGTGCTCAATACTCAGCCAGCCATCATATTTTGCCATTCTCAATCGATAGCAGAACTGTCGCCACCACTCTTCCCCGTGACCAAATCCCAGCGTTATGTAACTCCAGCTACGCGAGACGATATCCGTAAGGCTGCCGTTTTCAAGGAGGCTCCTTGTGGCCTGTACCTGCGGGTTCAACATCGTGTCTTTCGCATGCACGTGATAAATCGCGTCCCCGAGTGCTTCCGCCGCGACGAGCGGATCGGCACCCATCCAGAAAAGATGCGAAGGATCGAGGTTGACCCCGATAACGGGCCCGACCGCTTCGCGCAGTTTTTCAGCAGAGGAAACATTGAAGACACACTGGTTGCCGTGCAGTTCAAGGGCGATACGCCGCACACCATGCACTTTAGCCAGGTCAACGATCTCACCCCAGAATGGAATGAGAACATCGTTCCACTGATAATCGAGGATGGTTCGGGTTTCAGGCGGCCAACTGGAAACGATCCAGTTGGGCGTCGTGTCGCCCGGTGCTCCCGCCGGCAATCCCGACATGGCGCAAATGGTTGTTATACCCAGGTCGCCAGCTATTCGGATCGTGTCCCTCAGGCACTCGGCCTGTGACGTGTCCACCGGATGCAAGGGATTGCCATTTGCATTGAGACAGATGATTTCCAGCCCCCGGTCGTCAAACGCCCTGCGAAAGGCCTTGCGGGCGTCTGTGCTGGATTTCATGGCATCCAGGTCAAAATGAGGAGCGGTTGACCAGCCGCCTGTGTTTATTTCAACACCTTCTGCGCCAAGGCGAACCGCCGTGTCGAGAAGCTCCTGGAAGCCCAACCCGCCCAGGCTGTCCGATACAAAGCCGAGCTTCATGCCGCGTCTCCCGTTTTGGCGTACAGTGCCGGCCGCTCGACCAGCTTGACTGCGGCCTTGTTGCCTGAAGTGAGAGCACTTGCTCCGGCCTCTGCAATCACGGTTGCGCAATAGCCATCCCAGGCATCGGCAGCCTGGGCCACAGGCTGACCGGAACTGACCGAGGCAATCCAGGCCTTGTTCTGCAGCCGATAGGCCTCGCGAAATCGAGGGCGCCAATCTGCGGCGTAAACCGTTCCGGCCGACAGGTTCTGGTCGATGCGTGTCTGAAATTGGGTCTGAAGCGATACGGAGCCCTCGGTGCCTACGAGCTCGCACCTGACGTCATAACCGTAGCCTGCATTGTTGTTTACCTCGACGGTAACGAGCTGACCGCATGTTGTTTCGATGATCATGACAACCGGCTTGCAGACACTATCTGTGTCAAGCGCCGGTTCAAAGGCCGAAATTGCCGCAACATTCGTGGCCAGAACATATCTGATGATGTCGAACTCATGCGGCGCGGAATTTGTAACCGCCATCAGTCCACTGAAATTTGGCGGTGCGGCAACGTTTCGATGAAAGTTGTGCATCATGACCGCAGCCCCGATCCGGCCCGCATGCATTGCCGACTTCATTTCGACATATGATGGATCGAAACGGCGCATAAAGCCGACATGCACCAGCTGTTGACCAAGTGCGCATTCAGCCTCGAGAACCATCAGAGCCTCATCCATAGTCTGTGCCAGTGGTTTTTCGCAAAGCACGGGCTTGCGCTGATGAAGGGATGCAAGTGTCAGCTCCGCATGCGTGGGGTCGGGACTGGCGATCAGCACCGCATCGACATCTTTGCGCCTGATCGTGTCTAGAGGGTCCGTGCTGACGTCCTTGGCCGAATACGCGTCCGCGATGCGAATTGCCGTGTCTTTCGAGGCGTCGCAAACGACATGAAGCGTTGCTCCGGGCACATCACCTGAAATGATGCTGGCATGATCCGCCCCCATCACTCCGGCCCCAATCAAGGCGACTCGAACCGACACTTGTTCTTCGCCACCTCAACAGGTGACGTCCTCCCGTTTTGTTTCGGTCAGTATGTGAGTGGAAAACCCGGTTTTAAAGCGTGTTGAACGATGAATATTGATGTGAAATCCATCATTGATTGGAATTTTCGTTCAATTTCGGCAAAAGATTGGATTTGAGAATTAGTTCTGATGTATTTCACATCAGGATATAGTGAACAGTGATGACACGAACCAAATCGGCTCATAACTGGAAAGGACCGACGATCAAGGAGATTGCCGATCTTTCCGGTTTGGGAGTTGCTACTGTAGACAGGGTTTTGAATGGACGGGCGGGTGTCCGGAATGAAACCCGCGCGCGCGTTCAAGCGGCGCTTTTCAAGCTTCAGCACTCCGCCAGTTCATCCGGCGATCTAAACATTACGCTTCTGTGCGAGTCCGGAAAGACCTTCAACAGTGCGGTCAGCGATGCAGTAAACGTTACCAATCGATCCCAGCCTGGTGTTTCAGTGTCCGGCATATTTGCCGAAACCAACCAGTCCGACCCTCAAAGTCTGGCAGGCAGCATTATCGATGCCGGCAAAAACAGCGATGGCCTTGTCCTGATTGCCAGGGAGCATCCGGCAATCAATCACGCGGTTCGGACAGTCTGCCGGGATGGAGTACCCGTTGTCTGCCTCACCACGGATCTTCCGAGTTCACGACGAAGTGCCTATGTCGGAAACGATCAATACGCCGCCGGAAGTGTCGCGGCCCAATTGATCGGTCAGTCGCTGACGAAAACGCGGCAAAGGATCCTCATCGTGATGAGTGTCGCTTTCCGATGTCAGCAAGAACGGGAGATGGGTTTTCGGCGCGTCTTGAGATCGACCTATCCTCACCTGCGTATCGACGAAAGGGTAATCGCCGACGATGCACCCGAGACAACCTGTTCTCAGCTATTGCAACATTTCGAAGCACACGGGTTGCCACCTGCCATTTACAATGTTGCCGGTGCGAACCGCGGTGTTGCACAGGCGCTCGAAGTGGCAGCGGGTGCGGAAACAACCATTTTTGTCGGTCACGAACTGACCGTCAATTCTCAGCAACTGCTCGTGTCAGGAATTATGGACTACGTGATTTCACACGACTTCGAAGCAGAGGTTCAGGCTGCGGCTCACTGGATCAAGGCATTTCACGAAGGTGTCGATACGGACGTCCGGCCGACACAGATCCTTGTTCACACAAGATACAATTGCAGTCTCTAGCTCGAACAGATCAGTTCTGCTCACGTCTCAAGGCGGGTGGCAGACATGAAAACACCGGCTCCCTTAAACCCGGTGCAGGGTGAAGAAAACTCGCGGGAGGTCGCCAGATTGAGCGTTTGCATAGCCGATGCACAAGCTGAACACCCGTCAGGGCCGATCGCCGATCTCATCTGGACCGTCGACAAACCGCTCATGACAATTCTCTTCGGCACCAGGGACCGCTGGCGCCGGGTCTTTGCCAGCGACTGGCCGGAGAACAAAGGTATCGTGTGCCACAAGCAGATGACCCTTGCCGTTCGAAATTAAGAAATTCTGGGTGTCCTGGCATCGCACACACTGGAAGAGTTCGACGAACATTTCATCCACACACGCGAACGGCAGGGCCGGAATGAAGGTGCGGAGTTTCGCAAGCATCTGAACCATGCATTTGACCTGATGGCTGAGCTTTTTCCGCACGGGCTCGAAGGGTCCTATTTCGTGTTTGATTTGAAGTATCGTCCAAAGCCCGCCGTCTCGGAATCGGTCGACAATTGCTCGATGTTGCGACATCAAACGCGAAGGAAGCGCACTGCGATCGCATTTGCCTTGACGTGGCGGCTGACAACGATGCGGTGCAATTTTACATACGGATGGGAATGCATGTTGCAGTCGAGACACGGATTCCGGAACTGGCGGACCGACACGGTATGGGAACGCATTTGCACATGGTTCTGCCCGTCCGGGACCGCGCCGAATAGCGGACTGTTGCAAAAACCTCCTCCTTCGACTGGCTGGATTCAACCACCCCTCAAGCTCGTAAAGTTGAATGAAATGCACAAAGATGCATGTTGACCGCTATTGACCGAGCAGCAATATTAGGATCGACCTAACCAAAGGGAAAACAAGAAAAAATCAAAACGAACGCACCTGCAAGGCAGTTCAGTTCATAAAATCAATATCGCGAAACGGGCAATCATTTGAAATGCTAAGACACTGTATTGCCATTCCTGTTGCTGTGCTTCTGCTGCTCACACAGCTTTCCTCGGTGCTGGGTGGAACGACTGAAGTGCTGAGACCGGAGCCCGTGGAAGGGAACCTCTCGCGTATTGCGCTCGTCATCGGCAACAATGACTACGAGTACGTTACCGATCTCGACAACCCGATCAACGATGCCACATCCGTCGGCGAAAAACTCAGGGGGTTGGGATTTACCGTTCACCTCGGGCTGGATCTGGATATCTTTGGCCTGTCCGAACTGATCGACAATTTCCTGAGTCGGATTGAGGACGGCTCCGAAGTTGTCGTTTTCTATGCCGGTCACGGATTGGAGGTCCAGGGATCCAACTACCTTCTTCCGGTCGACGTGCCCGCGCTGAGCGTGGACGGAGAAAGGAAACTGCGGCACCGGGCCATAAACCTGACCACCCTGTTGCTGGATCTTGAGGCAAGTGGCGCAAACGTGTCCCTGGTTATTCTTGATTCCTGCCGCGAAAATCCCTTCCAGGCAAACGGAACGCGCAGCCTGGGAGCAGCGCGTGGAATGGGAGATCTGGGCACGCCCCCAGATGGCCTGTTCGTGATTTATTCCGCCGGTGCCAATCAACTTGCGCTGGATAACCTCGGTCCCGGCGACGCCAATCCCAATGGCTTGTTCACCCGGCATTTCCTGAGACTGCTGGACGAACCTCAACTCGGCATTCGGGACATGATGCTCCGGCTGAGGACCGTCGTTCGCGAAGAAGCCTCCCAGGTCCGCCACAAACAAACACCGGCCTATTATGATCAGCTGATCGGAGAGTTTAAGCTGAACCAGCGGCAAAAACCTGCTGTCGCCCAGTCACAACCGGTTGTTCAGGAAGACCGTGTTTCCACAAAGACCAATGTTGCCGATATTTCTTCTCCGTCTGCGATTGCAATCCGAAACCCGGAAGAAGAATCATGTTTCCTGGAAGCAACGCGTGAATTCGGACTGGAGACCACTGCATCGACCCGCGGCTACCATGATTTTGTCAAGCTGTTCGAACAATGCGTTGGTAACGAGGATGCAGGCCTGTCACAAGCAGAACTGACTGAAGAAATCACGATGTGCGATCACCTTGCCGCGTCACCCGACGATCCGATGCGCCCTGCCGGCGTGGCTGGTGTCTATTTTGGCGATATCGACGGCCCGGAAGCCGCAGAGGCATGTTCGCAAGCCGTTGCCGATCATCCGGACAAACCCCGGTTCCTGTTTCAGCAGGCCAGAGCACTCGACTACCTGGATCGCGATGCGGAGGCTATTGATCTCTATGCCAGCGCGGCGGCGGCCGGATCGGCGGCCTCGATGAACAATCTGGGCCTGATGTACCTCAATGGCGAAGGAACGGTGAAGGATCTTGGGAGGGCAAGAGAGCTGTTCACGCAGGCGGCGGCCCTCGGTCATAGTGATGCCATGGTCGAGCTCGGATTGATGCACGACCGGGGTCAGGCCGAGGACATGACGCGCGCTGACGAGTTCGACTGGTATCGCAAGTCCGCAAATCTCGGCAACAGGGCAGCAATCAACAACATAGGCGTCATGTACCGTGATGGACAGGGCGTGGCGCAAGATGCCGAAGAAGCGGCCAAATGGTTCACCCGGGCCGCAAACCTGAACTTTCCCAAGGCGATGAGAAACCTCGCCGATCTTTATGTGTCCGGCGAAGGAATACCGCCAAACCCCGCGGAAGCACTGAAATGGTACCGGTTGGCCGCCGACAACGGCAGCACGGATGCCATGGTAGACATCGGTATTCTTTACGAGAACGGAACCGGCGTTCCGCAGGACAACGCCCAGGCATTCATCTGGTACGAAAAAGCCGCGAACCTCGGCAATTCCTATGGCCTCAACAATATCGGGATCCTCTACAGGGACGGTATTGGCGTGAAGGAAGATCCCAAAGAGGCACTGTCCTGGTTCCTGAAGTCGGCAGCTGACGGCAATGAGGAGGGAATGTATAACGCCGCCGATCTCTACGAGAGCGGGACCGGGACACAGCGCGACTATGCCAAGGCTCTGGACTGGTACCGGAAGGCCGCCGAACAGGGCAACAGCGCGGCAATGGTCAATATCGGTCTCATGATCTACGAGGGCAAGGGGACAGATCCGGACCCCAAAGAAGAAATGGACTGGTATCAAAAAGCCGCATCACTTGGAAACCGCGCGGCGATGAACAACATCGGCGTCATGCATCGTGAAGGTGAAGGTGTGCCTCCGGATTTTGTCAAGGCACGCGAATGGTTTCAAAAGAGCGCCGATGAAGGTTTTCCGCTCGCGATGTACAATCTTGCGGAATATTACGCAGGCTCCCGGTACAAAGAACAAAGCTATGAAATAGCTGCGTTCTGGATGGAAATGTCGCTTCGTTCCGGTTCTGAGCGGGCATTGAACGAGTTGTCCGACAATGCGCAAGCCTGGCCTTCGGACTTTCGCAAAACGTTTCAGGAGCGATTGCTCAACGCCGGGTTCTACAGCGGGGCGATTGACGGAGCCTTCGGCAGACAGACCCTGACAGCTGTGAACCGGATTTTCGACGCGGGAGGTTGAACCCGTTTTGCGGGCGCACCCAGCTCGGGAGCCTTCGGGTTCTTCGCATCGACATGGCGCGATTATCGACTGGGTGAAACGGCAACTCTTCGCAAACCGGGTCCGGCAGCGACGGCAATGACCAGCCTAACTCGACAGCACCTGCCCGACGAAACGCGACTGCGGCTGGTTGAGTATTCCCGCTCAAACCGCGCTATGATTGCAAATGGACCAAATTTTTTTACCAGAACCCGAATTGCGATCTCGCTTGATCGAGATCATATTGTAATAATTACTTATCTCACTGAAAGTCTATACACGCTTTCACCATCGTAATGACGATTGTTTATGTTTATCTAACATGTTCGCTTTACAATCGAATACACGGTTGCGAGGCAAAATGGATTTCTCGGTACTTACAAAAAACTTCATTGAGTTAACCGGCGACGCTATTGCCATCGGGCATCTCGCGCCCGGCACAAAATCCGCGTGTCTTGTCCATGTAAACGAGGCATTCACTGAGCTCTTTGGCTACAGCTCGAAAGACATTCTCGGGCGGACAATGGACAGCTTTCACGATGGTGAAACCCTGCTTCCCGGCGCGAGCTTCAATCCCGATACAATCGTCCATCGACAGGCTTTTCTGAAAAAGATCAGTTTTGTGCACTTTGACGGCACGCCGGTCCGCACGAGTGTTTCGATCATCCTCCTTCCGAACCCGGACGCGGGAGGGCTCGTTGTCTGTGCAACTTACCGCAGTCTTGTCGACAACGAACAGTCGGAAGTTACCAAGACAGGCACCGCGGGAACTGTCGCTTCAACCGAAAAAGCAAGTTACCCGTCCGGCGAAAACGAAGCATCCGCAAACCGCTTGCTATCAGCGATAGATGACTATTCCGAACCGGTGGCGGTTTATGACAAGGACATGCGCCTTTGCTTTTGGAACAAGGCGTTCGCGGCCTCGCTGACGGACCGACCGAACGAAATCGGAAGCGGATTGACTGTCGAGGAACTTTTGAGGATCGGTCTCAAAAACGGGAAGTTTCCAGCAGCCCGGGGCCAGGAAGAGGACTGGCTGAACCAACAACTTACTGACCTGTCGGAAGCAGTACCAGCATCGGATGTGGAAATTGACGGGAACGTTCACCAGCGTATTGTGCGCAGTCGGGCACACAACGGCGATTTGCTCGTCATGCGCTTCGATACCACCGAAATCGTTCGCCAAAGAATGGCTGCCGACCGCGTTCATGCCCGCCTCGTGGCAGCGCTGAATGCCTATCCGGACCCGATCGTGATCTACGACAAGGACCTGAACCTGGTCTGCTGGAACGACGGTTACGCGGCTTCAATGACGGATGATCCCGCTGATCTTTTCGAGGGGATGCATCTGAAGGAAGTGCTTCACACGGCCGTACGCCACGGGCGTTACCCTGATGCCATCGGACAGGAGGACGCCTGGGTAAGGGGCATAATGGCGGCCGATGCACTGGACCGTGACTGGCAGGATGTTGAACTGGACGGAGATATCCATCATCGCCTGCTCAGATCCCGTTCGTCCAATGGCGACTACGTCGTGATCCGGTTGAACTCCACGGAGCTCGTGCGTCAGAAACGGGCGGCCGAAGCCACGCAGGCAAGGCTGATTGCAGCCCTGAATGCATATCCGGCACCTTTCGTCATATATGACGCCGACGACTGCCTTGTCGTCTGCAATGACGCCTACCGCATGTCGATGGCCAACAATCCGGATGATCTGGAAGTTGGAATGCACCGCACCCATGTTGCCCGTATTGCAATACGCGCCGGAAAAATTGCCAACGCGATGGGCCGCGAAGAAGAGTGGATGTCCAACGAGCACCAAAGCGTTGATGTCAGCAAACCGATGCAGGACCTCGAGCTTCCCGGAGATGTTCATCACAGAATTCTGCGGTCGCGCGTGGAAAACGGCGATCTGGTCATCTTACGTATCGACACAACAGAACTTGTTCGACAGCGCCGTGCCGTGGAGGAATATTCCCGAAAACTGGAGACCGCGAACCAGGAAATTACCTACAAGGCATTGCATGATGACCTGACCGGTCTCGGCAACCGTCGGTTTCTTTCTTTGAAATTCGATGAGATGGTCAGAAAACGAAGTGTCGAAGGAGGAGAAATCGCAGCTCTTCACATCGACCTCGACCGGTTCAAGCAGATCAATGACACGATGGGCCACCTGGCGGGAGACGAGGTGCTTCTGGACATTTCGATGCGCATTCGCGACCAAGCCGCCCCCGAAGACATTGTCGCGCGCATCGGAGGAGATGAATTTGTTGTCCTTCTGAGTGTTTCGGGTGACGGAGACCGGCCGGAGAAACTTGCAAACATTCTGATCGCGACACTGTCACGCCCCATGCGTATCAAAGACAAGGTGTGCCGTGTGGGCGCGTCAATCGGCTTGGCACGTACACCGCTCGCCGAAGTCGACCAACTGCTGACAAATTCCGACGTTGCACTCTACAAGGCAAAGCGTCGTGGTCGCGGTCAGCTCGGAATTTTCGATCGATCGGACCTTGAAGACTTGCAGCACACCAAGGAAGTGGCAGATGATCTGCTTCTTGCCATTGAAAACGGTGATTTCGAACCGTTTTATCAGCCGCAGGTAAATGCGGTGACCGGACAGGTTGTCGGCATTGAAGCGCTGGCACGATGGCGTCATCCTGACAAGGGTGTTTTGGCACCGGCGGCCTTTTTGTCGGTTGCAACGGACCTGAATGTCGCTGCCGATATAGATCGGATCATTTTTGAAAAGGCGATCGCCGAATGCGAGCATGCATTCGGCGCGATGCCTCATCCGCTGTCGCTGTCCTTCAATGTCAGCGAAAACCGGGTCAATGACGGTGAAATCGACGCGATCCGCCGGCAGGTCCAGGCATATTCAGGCCAAATCAGTTTCGAGCTTCTTGAAACGATTTTCCTGGAGGAACAGGATGACGAATTCCTTTTCCGGCTCAATCAGCTGCGAGACCTGGGGATCGGTATCGAGGTAGACGACTTTGGAAGCGGGCGGGCGTCGGTTGTCGCGTTGCAGCGAATCAACCCGGAGCGGCTGAAGATCGACCGCCGCCTTGTTTCACTCGTCGCAGAGGGCAGTGGTGGTCTTCGATTGCTCCGATCGATCATCGAGATTGGTCATGCACTTGAAATGGGTGTCACGGCCGAAGGCGTTGAAACACGAGAGCAGGCCGAGATCCTCGCCAAGCTGGGATGTGATCGACTGCAAGGCTTCCATTTCGCAAAGCCCATGGCGTTTCCTGATTTGATCAGGTTTCTGGAACTTCAACGCAGCTCCGTGGCGAGCGCTCGGGACGAACACCAGGCAAAGGCATCTTCGCGAACAACCTGAATTCGTTTATTGGCAATTTCCTGCATCAAACCTTGCCAGCTCGCCTCAAGGCCAACCGTTCTCGGTTTAAGGTATAAATTCCCGTCGCGACAATGATCAGTGCTCCGAGCCAGGTCCATGCATCGGGAAGCTGACCGAAGACGAGATAGCCGTAGATCGTGCCCCAGATCAAAAGCGAATACTGCAGGGGAGCGACAACGACGGCCTGGGCGGCGTCGAGGGCCATGATGACCAGGGTTTCCCCAAAGGCTGCCAGGACAGCCATCGCAACCAACAGGGCGATTTCAATGCCCGTGTCCGGCGTCTCCCAGACGAACAGCATTGGCACAGTCAGCAGCGCGCAGGATACGATGGCCGTGTAGGCGACTGTCGTCGCCGCACCGTCTCCTCCGGCAAGAATGCGCGACAGGATCTGTCGGAGTGCGAATGCGGAGGCGGCGATCACCAGCAGGCCTGCGGCGGGATGCAGGACACCGAGGCCGGGGCGGATCACGATCAGGGTACCGACAAAACCGATAGTGACCGCCGTCCACCTGCGAATGCCGACCGGCTCGCGCAGAACCAGTGCGCCCAACACGGTCACCATGAAAGGCGCAACAAATGTTATGGCCACCGCATCGGCGAGCGGAACGAACTTAACTCCGATAATGAAGAGGGTCGCGGAAACAGCCGCAAGCGCGCCGCGCCCAATCTGCAGTTTCGGATTGGCAGAGACAAGGACGGACCGGCCTCTCAGGCCGACAAGAATAAACACCCCAATCAGCAAACCCAACTGGCGGCACCAAACGATCTGAAACGGATGGATCGTGTCTGTGAGAAACTTCGCCATTGTATCAACGGCGGAAAACATGAACATGCCGGTCGCCATCAGCGCGATACCGCGCATGGTATCGGCATGCCCCGGCCCAGGGCCCGATTGTCGTGTGCTTGATGTGGTTGTGATCTCGCGTCTCCATTGACCGGTCCGATCAATGGGCCGTCACGCAGTGTTATCCGCGCAAACGGTTTTCGTCCATGGCAACTTGCAAGAAGTGACCTCCAGCGTTCGCTCAGGACTTCTCGGGATGCCCCGGGAATTGTCTTGCACCATCACAGATTTCATACCAGGCGGGTTTTTCCGAAACAAATTCATGAAAGGCGTTACGAACGATAGGGTCGTCATCCAGACAATGCGCGTTGATCGGAAAGGACGTTTCGGCAGAAAGCGGTTCTCCCAGAGAGGTCCCGCACCGGCGGCAAAAGGACCGGACATAGGTGAATGGCGCATCGGGCATCAAGCATTGAATGTCCGCCTCGCCGCTTATCAGTTCGAATTGCTCCCGACTGACGAATACGAAGGGTGTTGCACCCAGTTTCCGGCAGCGGGAACAATGACACGTTCCCATCATCGCGGGCATTCCCTCAATGGTGAAACGGACCGAACCGCAACAACAACTACCTGACAATTTCATGACCTGTTCTCCAGCGGGGTGGCGTTGCAGATCATTTAGCGACACTATGCTGACAGCGTGTTGTCAGCATAGTGTCAGCAGTATTTTTGCGAGGGTATATGAGGCGCGGCGACCGGCTGTTCGAACTGATCGAGATCTTGCGGCGGGCGCGGCAACCGATCTCTGCCTCTGCAATTGCGTCGGAACTG